GATATGCATTTTCAAAGGTGCACAATTATTGAAGTTGCTCCATCTTCTTAATAGAGATAGTAACTGGCAATTTAGCCAGAAAAGCAGAATATAAGACTGGTTGTAGAATCATCCAAGAAAATGAAGAAAAAGCCTAAGTGTTTGGGCTTTTGCCAATTTTCCTCTGAGTCTAGTAGGAAATGAGAGGTTCCCTCAGACAACATTTCTGAAGTTGTGCAATAAAAGTCCACACTCATCTTCATATTTCAGACCATGATCTCAAACGATCTTTTTTTCAAAAATTAGAGGCAGCTAAGTGGTGTAGTGGATATGGCACTGGATCTGAAATCAAGAAGACCTGAATTCATATCCCACCTCAGACACTTACTACCTATGGGCAAATTACTTGACTTTGGTCTGCCTCAGTTTCCTCAGGCACAAAATGAGGATAATAATAGCAACTTATCTCCCAGGGTTGTTGTGAGGATCAAATGAGATAATATTTGTAAAGCTCTATGAAAACCTTGAAGCACTATATAAATGCTGGCTACTAATATTAGTTGTGGACAAGTCACTCTGTTGCTCTGGGACTCAGTTTCATTTGTCTGTAAAATGGAAGAATTTTACCACTAAGATACTTTTTGGTTCTAAATTATATTTTGATTTGACTTGCCTCAGTTACAATGAGAGATAGGTCAGAACCAAGAGTAGGCTTTAGAGATATTGACTCTCCTAGGCCTAGATTCTTTCCAATATACTATCCTACCATTTCTATAAAGTAGAATGAATATTATTGTTATACAGGTAGTTTTATCATGAATCTCTTAGTGTCCAGGCCCTCACTTAAGTCATACTTTAAGCCAGGCCTGCACAACCAGCATCCTGCAGGTGGCTTATGCGTAGGGCCCCAGGGGTGCTTGCTGTACTCCAAAGAATTTCCTCTGCATACAAAGGATGTTTTCCTTTATGTTTTTCTGGGGCTGCCTGAAATCCTCTGGCATGCTGCAAGTGGCCCAAGGGCTCTAAGTGTTAGGGTGTGTGTGTGGGGTGGGGGGGGGTGCTGCAGGTTGTGCAGTACCTTTCTAGCTTGGTAGGACTTCTCAGACCTTATGCTTACTGACAAGGACTTTTGAGAAATAAGGGCCATTTTCATGCCACAATGAGGTATCCAGGTAAAATTTTAATGAAAGTATAAATAGGCAATAAATAAACATATAGACAGTGGGATAAATTGTTAATAATATAACCAGCTGCCATATTAAACTCAACATCTACCCCTCCATCCATCCATCTATCAATCTATCTATCTATCTATCTATCTATCTGTCTGTCTGTCTGTCTGTCTGTCTATCTGTCTATCTATCTATCTTTCCCTCCTTTTAACAGAATTCAGGCCCTTCCTCTGATTTGTATGTTGACACATCCACAGAATCACCATAAAGGTATATTCCTCAGAATAAGGCAAGTAATCTTTTCAACCCTTTTGATACTCCTTGACAGGGTATAAATTCTCTATACTAGGAATAATCTACCCTTCTTAAGAGTACTCATTGATTTACACAGATCTTCACTGACTCAAGTTTATGCATAATTTGAACACTTAAGCTATATCCTTGGACTTGACCTTTAAAAGACAGGGAAATACAGAGGGAAAGGAGATGGGGGCTTACACACAGACATGGGCTCTAAGAGATGCCTGTGCATCTGTGCAATCATGTGGCCCTTCAGGGTACTATAGGCATAGAGGAATAGGAGTTATATGGACACACAGAAGGAGAGGGGCTTCCATTGCTAGATGAAGATATGAAGGGGAAGATGAATCAACAGAGCAGGAGGTCACAGTGTGGAAGAACAGAACGGACTTGACTCTGAGTCATGTAACTGTGTACATCCTGATGACATTTGGGACTCCCAGGAGTATTGGTTGGCTCTTTAGAAATGCCATGTTCTTTCTTGTCAAAGGGTCACCCTTCTCAGGATAGTATAATGTCTAGAGGACCACGAGTTCTTGGGGAAGCAGAGGTTCTCCAGAGGGAAATAAAGGGTTGCTTGGCTCCCTAACAACTGAAGTACTTTCTCTAATGGTTAGGGTGGTCTGAAATGACCTTGAAGGAACCCACCAGATGAGCTTCACTGTTTATGGTCTTGGGTATTTTGGTGGCTTTTTTATGTTAAATAAGGCCTGGCTTATATCCAATATTTTGTCAGCTTACATCTTACATGGGATCTGAGTGCCATTTTAATGAAATACATGAGCCGTTTCTTTATACTAAGTGAGGACAAAACCAGTTGAATTCTGAAATTCCCAGAGGACAACCTGAGTGAGGGCAAGATAAACCATCAGAAACTGAATTGAAACTGGCAATACTAGAACTGAGGTGCTTAGACAATGGTTGCAACTAGTGCATGATGACCAAACAGCAGCACCCCTGAGAAAGCCCCCATCTAACAGGCCTTTGGCATTTATTTATTGAATTATTCTTTTTTTAGAATCATAGATTGATGGAATGCTCCACTCTTTACCTTTACACATGAGAACACTGAAGCCTAGATATGGGAAGTGCTTTCTGTACAAGACCTCAAAGCTGTAAATCTTTATATCTTTAAATAAACTTCTTAGGCTTCTTTGGTTACCCATAACCAGGAAATCACTTGGTGCTTAGAGTTTTCTTTACATAACAGTGAAAACATCAATATACTGGTTCAGTTGTGTTAGGTTAAACAAAATTAGTCATTCAACATAAAAACCATAACATAGGATTCTCAAACTTATTGAATAGGCTCTGGATTGTGTTCTTTGGTCTACCATGTTTCACTTTTTCATTTCTTTAAGGATAAAATAATAAATATGTCACTTTCAGTCATGTTCAGAGTAGATATCAGGTTAAGAATATTAAAAGTACAAACTACTATATTGCCACCTACTTCTTCCTCCTGATTTCTCCACCCAGCTCTTTATTCTTAGATAGCAGACCCCAGATTTATGGCAAATGCCATGTAAATAATTCAGGCTTTGGGATAAACATATACTCCTTACAGAGTTCTAGAATTTAATTGCCTTTCTATCATGCACTACTATATACAAGCAGATTGATTCTTTTATGAAGGCAAACTAGGCCATCTTTTGCCTCAATTCTTACCTAGCCTTAATTATTAAATGGGTATTGCCACAGACAAACTGAGACCTGGGAAAGACCTTGGTTTAAAAGACCAATGTCTCCCACTGCATCCAGGGTCATTGGCAGTCTTCTTGATCTATGTCTTGACGCTGGACTCCGATAACTCTGGAGGAGAAAGTGAGGTTGATGACTTTGTGCAGCCCTGCTTCACTTAAATCCAATTCACTTGCAAGTCAAGACATCACCTTTCTGATGTCACTTGTCTTTTTTGAGAATGAAGGATGAATAACAACTATATCCAAGCAGCACTTTTTATATATAAAACTTTTGAGAGAATAATATAACAGCAAACATGTACAATTTAAAGTTTGGAAAGCCCTTTTTCTATATACAGTGCCCCCAAAATCTTAGTGCAGTGTTAAGCTTTAATAGATAAAAATGTCATTAAGACTTTGGGGATGTCCTGTATTATTCTATTTGATCCTCACAATAACTCTGTCATATAAGTATGACACGTATTACCACCCTCATTCTACATATAAAAAACCTGAGACTCAGAGAAGTTAAATAATAGAATTAATAAATGTCAGAGGTGGAATTAAAATTCCAACTTTCCCCTGACTCCAGGTCCAATGCTCTTCCTACAACATAAGAACACTGAGCTGACTTTTAAGAGGAACTCATATTTGTATAGCCTTTAAACTTCTAAACCAGAAGTTAGATCAAGAATGACAATCAAAATAAAGAACTGGAGAAGGATTTCTTTCATTTGTTTAAAAAAAATAGTAAAACTTGTCAACAGTCATTTAGTGAATATTTTTTGAACATTACAGTAAGGGCTCAGTTGAAATAGGGTTTTTGACCAGCTGACATGATATCTACAGAAGTCTGCTTTGATGGCTCTTGGAATTATATCTCACCTCTCAGCATAGAGGAGGAGGGCTTTAATTACAGAATGAAGCATATATATGTGTGTGTGTGTGTGTGTGTGTGTGTAGCTGACATATATAATATATTCAAATATGTGTGTCAGATTTGTTTTGCTTAAATTTATTTCTTTGTTAAAGATTGTGTTGAAGGAATAGGGATGGACAATAGGGAAGACAGAGATTTTTTTTTAAGATCATTGCTAAAACATTTCTAAAAAAAAAAGAAACTTTACATACCTCTAACTACTTGAAGACTTATATTAAAAAAAGATATACATTAAAAATCAACAACAATATAGAAAAACAAAAACATGATTCTGGAAAAATAGAAGTCATAAGAGTTCTGTTTCAACAACCCAAGACGGACCCAAATCCATGCACGTAGTTCCTTTTTTATATTATAAATTGTAAAACTAGGACCTCAGTTACCTGTGCTGTGTGCCTATTTGGATCCTTTTGGAATCCTACAACTGATAAAGGGACATACATGACACAGATTTCTAAACAAAGCTATTACAGGGAGTTTTGGTCTCAGATTAGATATCACTGAGGTGAGATGCTTGTGTCTTCTTTCCAACCTTTGTTTAAATTTTGTTCACTTCATTTGTTTCTCTTCAGAGAATGTGTACAGCTTATACCTGGCTTCAGGTGGACCAGTTTATTAAAAACAATAAAGAAATGTGCCTAGTGACTTAGTGACAACTCAGAGACCATTGCAAAATCCTTAGCTAAATTATTTATCAATTCCAATGCTTTGACACTTTTGGTAATTTTGAGGTCCCTTTTAATGCACCCCTAAATAAAGACTGAACTTTCCCCTTCATATACCATTTCTCTAATCTACTTCTTCTATCACCTCTTCCAAACACAACTCCCCTACTTCCACACATGCAGAACTACTCATACAAATTATGGGCAATCCTTAACATCCCCAATTAATGATGTAAAAAAAATGAAAACTCAATCTGCTTACCTTCGTCTTAACATGGAGCTTCTTTAAACTCAGAAAACATTGACAGTTGCTTATTCCTCAAAACACTTTACCCAGGAAATGACCTTGTAAGAGTCAACTGTTTGAAGAGTCTCTTAATTTGACACTACTGTAGTCTTCATTTCAGAAAATGTGGTGTGCCTCATTTTCCATGAAGTCTTTCTAATATTTCAAGTTGATGAGCATGAATCACATTAATCCAGTTGATTTCATATTTCATAAAAAGTATTACTTTCAACCCTAGAGCAGAATACCATGACTGGTACTGATATACAGACAGAGAAGAGACTATTTTTGAAATTTCCTGTTTAACTCTATGCTGACAATTACATAGGGCCAAGTTCATCAGAGCAAAACGTGTTCAGAGTTGATGACATGCAACTTGCTTCTCTTTTGTAAGCACACTTCCTCTCTGCACTGAATTGTTCAAATCATATCTTGGATAGCTTTAGGCTGTCCAAAATTATCTGAAGCAGTTTGGGCAAAATAGGTTTCTGTACCCTTTCTTATCTGAGTAAGGAAAGCCCCTGTAATGAGGTGTGGAAGGACTCATTTCCCTAAATTTAGACTGTTGTGAACCCAAATTGAACTTTGTGTTAGGCAGAACGTGAATTCCTGGGTTTTTCATTTTTAAATCATTTTTTTCCTGTTTAGAATTCTAAACTCGTCCACATTGCAACATCCTTTGATTATATGAGAGAAACATGACATCTAATTTGTGATACAGAAAAAAATGTGCAAATTGCAAACTAATTCTTTTAAAATTTTTTCCTCAATAACACGCAATTTTTTTAAACATTCATTTAAAAAATTTTTCAGTTCCAAATTCTCTCCCTCTATAGACTATATGTGTGCAGTCATGCAAAACATTTCCAGATTAGCCATATTGCAAAAGAAAATGCGGACAAGAAAAACCCAAGAAAATAAAGAAAGTTTAAAAAAAAGTATGCTTCAATTCAGATTCTATCAGTTCCTTAACAGGGGTGGATAGCATATTTCGTTGTAAGTCCTTTGGAATTGTTTTGGATGAATGTATTGCTGAGAAGAGCTAAGTCATTCTCAATTGATCATTGTAATTGCTGTTACTATTTACAATGTTCTGGTTCTGCTCATTTCACTTTGCATCAGTTCATGCAAGTCTTCCCAGGTTTTTCCAAAAAAATTTTGCTTGTCATTTCTCATAGCAGAATAGTATTCCATCAGATTCATATATCATAACTTGTGTAGCCATTCTCCTAACTGATGAGCATTCCCTCAATTTCCAATTCTTTGCCACCACAAAAAGAACTGCAATTTTTTTTTGTGTATATAAGTCTTTTTCCTTATATCTCTTTGGGATACAGATCTAGCAGGGGTACTTCTGGGTCAAAAGGTATGCACAGTTTTATATCCTTTTGGCCATGGTTCCAAATTGCTCTCCAGAATGGTTAGACCAGTTCACAATTCTACCAACAGTGCATTATAGTGTCCCTATTTTCCTACATCCTCTCAAACATTTGTCATTTTCCTTTTCCATCATATTAGCAAATCTGATAGGTGTGAAGTGATACCTCAGAGCTGTTTTAATTTGTGTTTCTCTAGTCAATAGTAATTTATAACATTTTTTCACATGACCAGTTAAATTTTATTTCTTCTTCTGAACACTACTTGTTCATATCCTTTGACCATTAATCAACTGGGGAATAATTCATTTTTATAAATTTGACTCAGTTGTCCATATACTCAAGAAATGAGATTTTTTTTAATCAGAGAAACATGTTGTAAAATATTTTTTTCTTTCCCACTTTCCTTCTAATCTTGGATGCATTGGTTTTGTTTGTGCAAAATTTTTTTAATTTAAAACAATCAAAATTATCTATTTTACATCTTGCAATGGTCTCTATCTCTTGGTTAGTTGTAAATTATGCCTTTATCCATACGTTTGACAGGTAAAATTTTCCACACTCCCCTAATTTGCCTATGATACCACCCTTTATGTCTAAATCATGAACCTATTTTGACTATACCTTAATACACAATGTGAGAGGTTGATCTATACCTAGTTTCTGCCAAACTGCTTTTCAGTTTTCCCAACAATTGTTGTCAAATAGTGAGTTCTTGTTCCAAAAGCTTGGATCTTCAGGTTTGTTGAACACTAGAACACTAGAGTATGGTCATTTACTACTGTATATTGTGTACTTAATCTATTCCACTGATATATTACTCTATTTCTTAGCCAGTATTGGATTGTTTTGATGATTACTGCTTTGTAATGAGGAAATTGTGGGAATTAAGTGAACCATATTAACTCCATCTTGTGATTCAATTCTGGATCTAGCTCAGTTCCCTTTCTATTCAATTATGGGTCTAGTCCAATTTTTGTCTTTTAAGAAAACTTTATTCAGTTATAGGAATTGTGTGAAAACTTTATTGCATTGTTTGAACCTCACCATGCGTGACTGAGAAGCTGAAGCGCCTCTACCTGTTGCTTAGAGACCCTTAACTAAGGACCATGGTTATGCTGACCAGAAACCCAGTCAGATCTAAAGATTGATGCAAGGTGTTTTCTCATAATTATATAGCTCAAGTAACCCATATGTCTTATTTGAAAATTGGTCCCATGTTGGTCAATCAGTTACTGTTTTCATGTTTGTTTGATTGAATACAGACACTTGGGGAGAATGGGATACCTCTATTTCTGATTTCAGGAAACTACACATTTGCTCTACCCCTCTCAACTTGGAACATCCATAATCTTTCCACTAATTGGAAATCAGACTACCTAATTTTGTATCCTGGTTCATATCCTATTAATTGTTTTAATTAATTGTTCTTATTTGATTATTCGTTTTTAATCCATAACAATCTGTCTCCCCCTGTATTCGGGATCCAGTGCCAAGCTGAGGAGGCCTGGTCCTGATTTGTTATGCAATTGGCAGACATTGTTAATAAATCAATATACTCTGAAGCTTAGACCAGGAGTGAGCAACCTGTGACTTCAAGATCACATGTGGCTTCCAAGTCAAGTGTGGTCTTTTGACCAAGTTTTACAGAACAAATCTTTTTATTAAGGGGATTTGTTCTGTGAAATTTGGATTCAGTCAAAGGGCCACACTTGAGGACCTAGAGGGCCACATGTGGCCTCAAGGCTGCAGGTTCCCCATCCCTGGCTTAGACTTTTGTTTCCTCAGTTATTTCAGATTTCACGCTTGAGAGAAATACAGTTTGAGATCTGGTACAGCTAGGTCTTTTTTTCATTGATATTCTTGACTTTTTCTTTTTCTAGATAAATTTTACTATTATTTTTTCTAGCTCTCTAAAATTTTTTTTTTGTAATTTGCATGGTATGACACTGAATAAGTAAGTTAATTTAGGGAGAACTGTCATTTTTATTATATTACTCAACCTATACATGAGTAATCAATACTTCTCTAATTGTTTAGATCTGTCTTTATGTGTGTGAAAGTGTTTTGTAATTTGTGGTCATACAATTTCTGGGTTTGTCTTGATGGGTAGACTGCCAAGTATTTCATATTGTCTGAATTTATTTTAAATGGAATTTCTCTTTCTATCTCCTCCTGTTGGACTTTGTTGGCAATATATACAAATGCTGATGATTTATATGGATTTATTTTATATCCTGCAACTTTGCTGAAGTTGTTAATCTTTTCTACTAGCTTTTTAGTTGATTCTATTGGATTCTTTAAATATTCTATCATATTATCTGAAAAGAATGATAGTTTTCTTTCCTCATTTTCCATTCCAATTCCTTCAATTTATTTTTCTTCTCTTATTGTTATATGCATTTCTTGTACAATATTGAATAATAATGGTGATAATGGACATTTTGTTTCACCTTTTATTTTATTGGGAAGGCTTCTAACTTATCCTTATTAGAGATCATGCTTGCTGATGGTTTGTTGTTGGGTCATTTGACCCAACAACAAACCATCAGCAAGCATGTGGACAGAATGCTAGGCCTGGAGTCAGGAAGATCTAAATTCAAATCTGGCTTCAGACACTTACTAGCTATGTGACCCTGGGCAAGTCACTTAATCCTGTTTGCCTCAGTTTCCTCATCTGTAAAATAAGCTGGAGAAGGAAATGGTAACCCACTCCAGTATCTCTGCCAAGAAAACCCCAAATGGAGTTACATAGAGTTGAACACAACTGAAAAATGTTCATCTGAAAAATGACACAATCATTGTTATCCAGTGGTTTCACTGGCCTAGCACTCTGTCCACTGAGCCATTTAGCTGCCACCTCCTTAAGAGTAAGAACTACTTTACTTTAGCACAAGCGGCTGATACATAGTAAGCCCTTAAGAAGTGCTTATTGACTGCCTGACTTGTCCCCCTGTCTCTACTCACACATCCACCACTCTAATTTAGTTCTTTACCACCACTCACCTGAACCATTATACTAGCCTCCTAATTGTTCTTCCTGCCTCAAGTCTTTCCCCACTCCACTCCTCCCTCCATACAGCTGCCAAAGTGAGCTTCCTAAAGGAAAGTACTGTTCATGTTACTCTTCTACTTGATAAACACCATTGTTTCCCTACTGATTTTGTGATCAAATATTTCATTTTTATGTCATACTTTTAAAATGTCTATTTAAAATTTAATGTCTATTGAGTAAATAAAATACCTCCACCCTTTAAAAAGTGTCAAGATGCTAAGGCCTGGATACTTTAACCAAGTGAGAATATTTCTTGATTGAGTTAATGAGTCATAGACTTTAGACGAAGTGAGGAAAAAGTGTTTGATCTACTGGTGTACACTGCATGGGAAGGATGGAAATATGTTTGTATTGGCTGAAGAAATTTGGTCATGCTTTGTGAGTTGCCTATAAAACATGAGCCATGAAAGATTCAAATGCTTGGTAGCAGAGGGGAGAGAGCATTTCAGCTAAACCACATAGAAGTTACTGATTAGAGCCCAAGAACAGAGACACACCCTGGGTTTCAACCTTGGTCTTATTCTCTTTTTCTCTTGGCAGGAGGAGGATCTTGAGGATATTAGAAAACCAGAGGATTTTGGACATCCCTAGCAACATCCTGGGAACACTGCTATCAGGGTTTAACATCTCAACATTTTAAATGGAGTGGACTAATTTCATTAGTTCACTCAATCATGCCCCATTTTATATCTATTTTTATGTACATTTCATAATACACATAACTTTTTAGCATAGCAATTCATGCATATTTGTAAATAAGTAAGCACATATTGTGGATGTATGCTCATATGTACAAGTGAGCATGTGCTCACCTATACATATT